CATGACTATGGAGTTTCTATTTGTGTTGTAATTGAAAACTTTGTTTGAGCTTCACTTTGAAGTATTTGTAATAATGAAGCTGCTATTTTTGTGTCTGGTTTTGGTTTCAATGGATAAGATTCTTCATATTTTCTGATTACACACACACACGTACACATATACACATACAAAATGGGTTAATTAATGATATTAGTAAATTTAGAGAAGTAGTCAAAAAATTTGAAATCACTTTTACCATGTGCTAATATAATATTGGTTCTCCTAGAAAACAGGCACGGATATTAGTTTAAAATACATTTTCAAGATATTTCTTCACACATTCGCGAATTAGAACATCAGAATTAGTATACAAATGGAAATGTATAACAAAATAAATATTGATGTTTTTAGATGTATGGACTACATAGATCACATAATTAGTAAATAACACATTCATGTACGCTAGAGCTGGCTATTAGAATGCAATTACTAAATTGATAGCAATAGTTTCAATTGTGGTTGCAATACTGGGCAAAAACTCTTTGCTAATTCAACTTTTACAGTTAACAGAGATACAAAGCACAAAACAGAGTTACTGAACTCCATACATCAAATCCATGCCCATATCAATTAACACCACATGATGAAATTCCGATCCAATATGCTATACGGGAGAAGCTTTAAACCAAAAGTTTGATCAAAATTCTTCTAATCTCCCTGCTTTTCGTTTATTTACACAAATGACAGGTGAAACTGACAGGAGAGCTCATATGTAACATAGCACCCAGTTCCCCCATTGTATGACAATGCTGCTCAATCTCCCGTTGCAAGCTTCTCTTCGTCTACTTCAAAAGCTTTCCTGGCCTGCTTCAGCTCTTCATTCATCGAAAGAAGTTCTGTGCATCGGTGGAGTTTTGGCATATCCTGTTTGAATCCAAAGAGCACGTGGTCAGAGTTAATGAATCTTACAACTTTTAACGATTGAATACATGATTAATTATATATAGAGAGGTGATATGTGCACAATCAATTACATGACTGGTCATAAATAGGCGTGAAATGTGAGCGAGGAATTCCTTCCAATTTAGTCCTTCCAATTTAGCAAGAACAAGTTGTGAAGATCGTGTTTATGAATAATACACAATCCAGAAACTTGAACCATTTTAGCAAAAAAAATATATATATATAATAATTTCAAATTTAACATGTAATACCTTACGAATTAGATATAAAAAATCCTCGGTCAAAAGCTTCCCCCTCTTTGATGCGATATCTTGCGCTTTATGCACCTGGCAACAAGCAGAAATTTCTGTCAGATTATAAAGGTACAGACTGCGCTACATTTTAATGAGTGCAAAAAAAGCAGGGTGATGAAACTTGTAGAATATTGCCCATGGCCTATGCGACGATGATAATTGTAGAATATTGCCCATGGCTCATGTGATTTCAAACATATAAATCAATATATATTATAAGCTGATTTACTAGAGTTGGATGCTTCAGGGCAATGCACTTAACAATGATTTACCTTGCCATTAAAAGATATAAGTTTTGAAGCATTTATAGATGAACCTCTCATACTTCATTTGCCTGATCTCCCCCTCTAACCAAAAATGAATTCTTATACTGTGCTAGCTGACTATCCTGCAACACCATATAGGGTAGCAAGCATATGCAACCACATCCAAGACACTACACGAACCAGGAAGTCGGAAGAAAAGCACCTCGTTTGTTCATCTATGCGACAGTTTCCTTAGTGATTCATAAGTTTACACTAATTTCCATCCATCAATTTAAGGACCAGTCTAGCTAACTTAATCTAGCGTCATTTCGGGTTGAAATAGTGGGAATATAGTGTATAATCGTGAAAGACATGGGAAATTTACAGGTGATTTATCATGTGAAACTTAGTAAGTCTTTGAAAAATGCATGTTTTTCTCAGCATATTGATTATCGACAATTTCCTATCTCACCTTCTTAAACTGGAGCCAGACCCATCCAAATGGGGATAGTTATTGTGAAAATCCCTATATTACTGAATAGGCTCCAGAGGAAAATTGACTAGGACAACCTCATAGTCTTCTTTTCTCTGCAGATTGATTACTTCTTTTCTCTGCAGATTGATTACTTCCAAACTTCCAATATCATTATCCTAAAGCGTTCTTGGATTTCATTGGGGTTAGGGGAAGTTAAGGGAAAATGTGGAAGAGAAGGGTAGGGAATGTAAGGGAAATTCATTCTCTTAGGTTCCGCTCTTCTTTCTTCTTCTTTTCTCTGCAGATTGATTACTTCCAAACTTCCAATATCAGGGAAATTCATTCTCTTATCATTATCTTAGGGTGTTCTTGGATTTCATTGGGGTTAGGGGAAGTTAAGGGAAAATATGGAAGAGAAGGGTAGGGAATGTAAGGGAAATTCATTCTCTTAGGTTCCACTCTTCTTTCTTCTTCTTTTCTCTGCAGATTGATTACTTCCAAACTTCCAATATCAGTGAAATTCATTTTCTTAGGTTCTTCTTCTTCTTCTTCTTCCAATATCAGTGAAATTCAATTCATTTTCTTAGGTTCTTCTTCTTCTTCTTCTTCCAATATCAGTGAAATTCTTCTTCTTCTTCTTCTTCTTCTTCTTCTTCTGCTTCTGCTTGGGGTGGGGGCAACAAATTTCTATCGATTGTAGGGTAATCTAGGGGAATGAGAGGGATCGCTTTCCTTCTTAAAAACTTTCCCAAACGGGGTGAATAGGTTTCCCTACCTTCTGTTCACCCCTATTCCCCTCTATCCAAACAGGCCCTTAAACTGAAGTAGACCCCATTAAATTTCTACACCTATATCATATAAGATGCTCCAAGGATTATTGACCAGGATAACCTTATAGTCTTCTTAAGAGCCTCTGTCCAAGAGTCCCAGCAATGCAACATTTGAGGATTGATAAGCTACCATCAGAAATCACTCAATTTCACAACTATAATCCAGAGCCATCACCTACTGTCATTTCTCACATAGATTCTACCAGAATTGGGAAATCAGTTAAAAATATGATCAATCTCCAAATGGATCGCTAGACTTCAATTGCTCTTATTCGTTCAGGAATGGAGTGAGAATAAGTAACGTGTGCTCTCTATTTGATTAAATGACTAAAGAAATTCTTCACCTTCTTTGGTGCACATCAGAATCAAACCAATCATCCCCAGGTGAAACATAGAAAATGGACTCACTTTTTTTATTAAAGAATCAGTTATATAAAATCAATGAATTAAAAAATTCATAAATCATTTCCTCCACTGACAATTACAATAAACCATACTACATAAGTATAGATTTGATGACCATTAAACCTTTGTGGCCGTGGAAGACCATATTTTATTTCAATAACATTTACATATGAACAATTCAACCAAGTCAAATGGAACAACATTAAATAGTTTCGGCTGTCAAATTAGGCGGCTAGTACAAAATACTGGTTTTCTGAAGGAGTGTATTCAAAAAAAACCTTTTTCTTTGTTAACATGTAATTGATTGCGCATGTCAAATACTTCAAGGCAGGAAATGAGCTATGGTTCAGAATTAAATAAGCAATTCAGAAGTTTGGCCATCATTACCAAATCTGTGACGTACTCCACAACAATGTCTTCAACCAATGAGACAGTTTCTGGAAGTGGCT